TTGTTGCTCAAGGTATTTTTCCTGGTGCTTATAGCATTTCTTCCATCTCTGTTAGAAAACAAACATGTAGGTAGTTAACTTCTTCTATTTAGAGGGGGGAAAAAAAGAAATTCCAGACTCTCCTTAGATGTTACTTCCTTTCTGCTATTACCACATTTTTCCTCCTCCTCTTCCCCATCTCCATTTTTTTTTATAAATAAATTTCTTAAAAGTCCATGTTCAGTAGTGACTCAGTTTTTTCTTTTTTAGCTCACATAAATATTTATTTATTTATTTATTTATTTATTTATTTGTGCGTGTATGAAGGGTAGTGGTGGCCTGCATGCCAAGGCACACGTGTGGAGGTCAGAATATTACCTTTGGGGGTTGGTTCTTTACTTCTGTCATGTGGGTCCTGGGGACCAAACTCAGAATATCAGGCTTGGCAGTAAGCACCTTTACTTACTGAGTTGTCTTGTGGCCCCATTTTCCATCTTATTGAAAATAATAAGACTCTGATCAGGCTGAGATAAAGTAAAAAGCAAGATCATTGTGGAGGAGTAAGCAAATATGTGGTCAAGGTAGAGGGAAGTGAGATGGAAAATCTTGTTAAGAAGGGTAAAAAATCACAGTTGTTGAGGGGAGTCTCAATATTGGTAGTGTGAAGTTGGTGAAAAGGACAGAGGAATAGGCAGTAGATTTTCATACTCTAGAGTGAGTTGTGCCTTTAGTTTCTCATGGATTCTTCTGAAATTGTCTATAAAGTATAGATGTGTATTAGTCTACCTTCAGTTTTTTTTAAACCACAGAAGTTGAAAGATGGGTACACTGATATCTGTATTTCTCTTATGCACCAACTGTTAAAATCTGGCCTCAGTTATTTGTGTCTCATTAGTGCCCACACTTCCTCTCTTTCACCACCTGAAACACAAACATGTAGAATGGAACTCCTAAATACTTTACTGGATATTTCTTAAGAACGAGGGATGTTTATTTGAAAAACAAGACAAAACAAAACAAAACATGAATGCATAACAATATTTATAGTTCTAAGCCACACCACAAGGTTCCTTCTTACCTTGCATCAACTCAGGTCATCTATCATTTACAAGAGGAACACATTTTAAGAGTGGTGTGTGACCATCATAGAGTGGCATATACTTATGAAGCCTGGATTGTAATGTCACTTTACACTTAGATTGTATGATATGTACTTATATAATTCGTGTATAATATATATTATACACATAAATGCTAAAGCTCTTATGGCCACAGTGAACAAAACAGTCTGAGATTAAATAAAATACAAGAGAAAATGATACAATTAAGGCACAGTAGATGTAAGATGTTGATATGTCTGTGAGTATAACATGGCCCACCATTTTACTGTAAAACTTTTTTTCTTAAAAAGTAGAGGGAACATACTATTAAAGTAAGGATAAGAACTATACTGTAGCAAATTCTAAATTAATAACAAAGTTTTGGTCATCATTATTAAGAATTATGTGTATACTATGCATAATTGTATACTTTTATGAGCATCACAATGCTTGTTTACACATCACTACCACAAATACTTGAGCATGCGTCATTATAAGACACTGTTACAGCCCTGATTCTAGGTGACAGGGAGTTTTCAATTCTGTTAGTTTTTTTTTTTTTTTGAACTGCCTTTATATATTGCTGACCATATTTGTTTTCAACATCCCTTTTAAAAGTTTTTTTAAAACAGAATCTTAAAGTCTATATAGCTAAGGATGGAGGATGACCTTGAACTTATATCGTCTTACCTCTACCTCCCAGGTGCTGGATTATAGGACTTGTGCATGTTTCACTCTACTGATGGAGCTGCATCTCTAACCCTTCAACAGGCTCAGCAAGGTCTTCTTTCTTTGTTGTTTATTTTTATTTTTTAGGTTCTTTCAAACAGGATCCCTGGGCCACTGTTCTTTTGATATATTTTGTCTTTTGCTGAGAGTTTCCTTTCTTTTCCTTCCTTTCTTCTTTCCTTCCTTCCCCCCCCCCCCTTTTTTTTTTTTTTAACACATCAAGATTTCCCAGGCTTATTTTGTATGTTCTGTGCTCCGAATAGGCCATTTCTACAAAGAGCCCCTTAGTGATTTCCATCTTGTGGAGGATGGTATTTAATATCCAGTATCTGAGCACATTATTTTCATTCTGTTGGGGTGTCATTGTCCTGTTCTGTCAGCAGACTGAACTAGGAAATGAATGCATGTCTCTGTGCATACATACACACAAACATCTTTAATGATCTCTTTCTCTCTGCTTCATATTTATTTTGGGACAATTGTCATTCTGTAGCCCAGGCTTGCCTGGAACTAGGAATGTAGCACAGGATGGTCAGGAACTTGCAGATTCTCTTACCACTGCCTCACAAGGGCTGAAATTACAGTTATGTGCCACCATTCCTTTCTGTATATGAATGTTTTTAAAATTAGGTCACTTACTAATTATTTCAATTCAACACCTTATAGTTCTTGTAGCTTTCACCTTTCCATGTTTCAAAATCCTCTCTTAGTCAATGAGAGATCTTGTTCAGGTTCTTTTAGATATGTTTATCCATCTACATCATCAGCAGATTGTTAACTGTAATCACTCCTAACTACTCAGGCTGTCTCTTCCATCTGTCGTGCTGTTCTCCCTCCCATCAGTTCCCTTTCATTGGTGACTAGGGAATATTACCACCTACATCAGGCAATCTGCTCTTCCCCACCATACCATTTCTTTGGATACCAAGCACTTTGCTGTAGATGACTATGCATAAACCCCAGCAGCCTCTTTGCTTGGCTGTCTTAGAAGCTGGCTTCTTTGTATGGGGGAGGCTAGGGAAGAAAGGAAGATTGGGTTGAAAGGTAAGGGCCAGATTATGGATGTGTGTGTTTTGAATAGGAAGCTCATAGGCTTTGGAAGTAGATCTAATACAGAAAGCATGGGAAAGGAGTAAACAGTGATTCTAGGGTTTTTGGCTTGAGCCACTAGGAGAACTGAATGCCATTAAGTGACAATTAGAAACAATAGAAGGTTTGATAGAAATAATGAGAGCTCATTTTGGAGTGTGCTAAGTTGGAGGTATCTTTTAAACGATCACAAGGAAATGTAAGCACAGTGTGTTATCCATGCTTCCTGACATTATCAGCTGGAGATGTATATTTGGCAATGCCTAGGCATAGAGATGCTATTTAAAGCTATGAGTTCTTTGGAGTTTCAAAGAGAGAACGTTTGATAGAAAAATTTATGCTGATCCTAAGGGCAGTTTTTAGTTAGAGAGATGGGGAAAACCATTAAGTTAGGGTCAATCAGTGAGGTGGGAGGAAGAGCAGGGGAATGCAGTGCTTTGGAAGCTAAGTGAAGAAAATGTTTCAATTAATGGGAAAGGATTAAACTGTCAGATGCCTCTTGGTTGGTCAGGAGAGGCAAGGACTGGGAATTTACCATTGAATTTAGTAGTATGGAGGTCACTGGTGACATTGATAGCTGTTGTGTATGGAGTGGGGTACTTGACTGGATTAGGTTTAAGAAGGAATGGGAAGACATGAGACAGAAAATGCAGAAAACTTGGAGGAGTTTTAGCTTAAGACACATCCTCACAGCCTTCTGTGTACATGATTTTGAGCACTGGAGCTGAGTTTAAAGTAGCCTTTTCTGACATCTGTGTGGATAGCCTGGCATTATTACTATCTATCTATACATTATTGCTTGCTCTGTTTAGTTGGTGAGAGGTTTTTGTCATTGATCAGTGTCTTTGTTACTGTTGTGTTGTTACACCATGACCAAGACAGCTTCTAAAAGGAAGCATTTAGCTGGGGGTTGGGGGAGCTTGCTTACAATTTCAGAGGGTTAGTCCATGACTGTCATGACTGGGAGTGTGGCTCAGGCTTGGCACTGGAGCAGTGGTTAAGAGCTTATGTCCTGATCTGCAGGCAGCAGAGAGAGAGAGGGACTGGTCTGGCATGGGCTTTTGAAACCTCAAACCCGACCCCAGTGACACACTCCCAACAAGGCCACATCTCTTAATCCTTCCTAAACAGTTCACCAGTTGGGGACTAAGCATTCAAATGTTTGAGCCTATGGGTGCCATTCTAATTCAGATCATCAAAAACAGGTAAGTGGACTGGCAGTGGAGTTTAGTACAAAGGAGAACCTGGAGCTGGGAAACTCTTTAAGAGTTCTGAAGTGTTAGGGAAGGAAAACTTTACAGATTGTATGGAAGTATCGGGCCTTGTCAGCATCCTGACCGTTTTTCTAAGTTTTTTTTTTTTTTTTTTTTTTTTTAATGTAGGTAATTGAAGAGTCTTTTCTTCATATTTTTCTTGGTTTATAAAGAAACCTCACTAGAAATTAGAATATACTTTAATTTACTAAAATTTAGGCAAGTCTTTATTATCTACATAGACATTTTTCTGTGTACGTACTCCTGTGTATGTGCATCAACGTGTGTGTGTGTGTGTGTGTGTGTGTGTGTGTGTGTGTGTGTTTTGGGTGTCTTCCTTGGTCATTTCCACCTTATTTTTTTTCAATTAAATTTTATTGTGTGTGTGTTGGGGTGAGGGTGACATACCACAGTGTATGTGCAGAGGTCAGAGGACAACCCTGTGGAGTTAGTTTTACCCTTACATGGCTTATGGGGATAGAATGCAGGTCATCAGGCTTATATAGCAAATGCCTTTACTGCTGAGCCATCTTGTCATGCTTCCACTTTTTGCCTTTTGTTTTTGAGACAGAGTCTCTTATTAAGACTGTAGTTCACTGATTTGGCTGGCAAGCTCTAGGGATCCACCTTTGTCTGCCCCCCCCCCAGTGCTGGGATCTTAGATATGTACAGGTGTACCCAGCTTTTTGCATATGTTATGGGCAGCCAAGCCCATGTCCTCATGAGGTACACATTGTTTGAGCTTGTCCTTGACTAATGGAAAGCTAACAGGTCTGCCACGGGTGCAGAGCTTGCTTCACTGTCAGTGTCCTGAGTGACAGTTGCTTTTCTACTTCCTTCTTTATTCAAGAGTCTACGTTGTTTGCTGAGCTTGGCTATTTCACAGATACGGATGAGGTACAGTTTGATGCAGCAAATGAAACTTACGTAAGTACTTATTAGAGGAGAAATAGTGAATAACTTGATGTTTCATCTGGACTGTTATTAATGCATGAGGCTTTCAGGACAGTAGGTTTAGGCTAGTAGCTAAGTGACATCATTAATCAAGAATGTTAGTAGCTCTTTTGTAGTCAGTAAATACAGAGCATAAAGTTTGCCTGGGTGTTGATTTGAGAAGACTTGTTTCCTTAGCATATGTTTGGTCTTATGGGTGGGTGACCTTAGGAATGTCATTTTTTCCTTTTTTTTGAAGAAAGGCTTCACTCTGTGAAGACGGAATTTCTGTTCAGCCTGGTCCTGCAGCTGTTTAAGTCCCAAATAAACACACAGACTTATATTAATTATAAACTGGCTGATAGCTCAGACTTCTCTTTGGCTAGCTCTCTCTTAATCATTAACCCATTTCTATAAATCTAAGTATTTCCATGTGGTCTTGGCTTATGGGAGAATGCCCAATTTCCTATTTCCCTGGCAGCTACATGGCATCTCTCTGGCAGTTCCTCTCTATTCCTCTTCCCAGAATTCTCCTAATTTGTAGCCCCACCTATACTCCCTGCCTGGCTCCTGGCCAATCTGAGTTTATTCACCAACCAATAAGAGAAACATATAGTCACAGCATACAGAAGGAGCTCCCCCATCAACTGTGTAGTCTTGGCTGGTCTGGAAATTACTATGTAGTTCAGGTGGCCTGTAGTTCCTAGCAGTCCTCTTGCCTCAGCCTTCTGAGTGCTAGGACTCTAGGCCAGCACCACTACTCCGAGTTCTGTTTCTTGATTTTTACAGATGCTTTGTGGCTTGTGGGGATAGCAGTATTAAGAGGCTTGTGTGAGTCATGGTTCCAGCCAAGCTTACCAACTTCCCTTTTAAAAGCTCTGAAAATTAGTCATATCCCTACCTTTGTTTTTGATTGGTCAGAGGACTATATAGAAACTGTTATTATAGGTTCTTTCAGAGGACCCTGGTTCAATTCCAAGCACCCACATGGCTGCTAACAACTGCCTGTAACTCCGCAGACACTGCACAAGCATGCTGCATAGACATACATGCAGGCATAACACATCTACATAAATTAAAAAACTTATTGTAATACTTTGAGTCATCACAATGGCTTTTTTGGTTGCATATAGAAATCTGAATTTAGCCACATTCTTTAATGCCTTTACATGCTGTACTTGCTGAGCTGTCTTATTGGCCTTAAAAATGGCTTTTGGGATTTTTTGTTGAATTACTGAAGATTTTAGAAGTTTGAGAACCACAGAGTGGCAGGGAGAAAAAGAACATTATCTTATAGTACTTACTCCTTTTATGACGCCTGCCCTGGTTTTGGTTATGTCTGTATTCTTTATTTTTCAGGAAGATAATATGAATAGCTGTTTGTTTGGACTTCTTTTTCTGAATAGCAAAGGGGAAAAAAACATCTCTCTTGTTGGATCTGGAGCTTTCTATGGCAAAAGACTAATTTTGCAAATTTTGAATGGTCTGTTTCTACAGAAAAGAATAAATGTCACTAATCTTTTAGTTATTAAGTCTGTTTTCACTTCTAGCTATTATTGTCCTTCAGTGAGCCAGATTTGTTATATCTCTGGGTTCTCTAAAACATATTTGCAGTATGAAGTGGTTGGCTTAAATTCTTTTTATTAGGTTGGGTAGTAGCAATTATATCACCTATGGTAAACTGTGCCTGGCAGTTTTATTCCAAGGTGTGTGTATTTCATTCTAATCATTTCTGATTTGACACTTACAGGAAAATAATTTTGATCATCTTAACTTTGATTTGGATTTGATGCCTTGGGAGTCAGACATTTGGAGCTCTAACAACCACTTCTGCTCAGGTAACCATGTTCTATACTTAAATGCCTAGCCAGACTCTTAGTATAGTTTGGTAATACTCTGAATTAAATGGGTCAGAAAATCCTGGCCAACAGGGTTTATGAAATGAAAAGGATGAGGCTAGGGTTGCCAACAGTTAGGAGCTTGATAGTGGGGTCATCTGTATTTGGTGTACGTCCTTCTGAGGAGGGGGCACAACTTGGCTAATGCTGTATTTTTAGGTGATCAAATATTGTAATGAGAACAGGAAATTGGCTAAAACATTGTATTTGTCTCTTATATTGTTATATTGGTTACCTAGTGTGTAATAATAAACCTTTTCTGTGTGTGTTTTGCCTTCATATGTGTTTGTGCAATGCTTATGTGCCTGGTGCCCAAAGAGAGCAGAAGAAGGTGTCTAATCACCTGGGACTGGGGATATGTGGGTGCTGGGAATTGAACCAGGGCCTTTTAGAGAACCAGAACCAGTTTTTGGTTTTGTTTTGATTAGTCAATTCTAAATTGCTACTCCATGTCTCTAGCCCTAATGCTTAGTTTTTTTTTTTTTTCCCTTTGAATGAAACTTAGAATTCCCTTTAGCCTTAGATAGCATGATTACACGTGACAGCCCTTTCCAAGGTTTTATTTTCCATGACTTCATGTAGCTTCTTAGCCACTCAGGTTTTGTTCTACAGTTTTGTTATTTAAGGCCCATGTACCACCCTACTAAGGTAAAAAATATTTGACTTATTTTTCTTTGAAAGAAAATAACATTCTCCCAATTTATAGGTTTTTCTTACTAATACATATTACCTTCTTTGTAATATGTTATTCCTTTGAATCTCTATTAAATTTTTCCTGGTGTGTGTGAGTGTGGCGTACGTGTGTAGTATATACATGTGTGTAGAGACTAGAGGAATTGTGTTCCCTCCTTTCACTTAGAAACTTTTTTTTGTTTTATTTATTTTATTTTTTAATTTTGTGTATGAATGTTTTGTTTATGTGAATGTTTGTGCACTGTGAATGCCTGGTGCCTTTGGAGGTTAGAAGTGGACATCAGCTCCCCTGGAACTGGAGTTATGGACAATTGTGAGTTGCCCTGTAGGTGATGGGAATCAAACCCAGGTCGTCTGTTAGAACAGCAAGTGTTCATAACTGTCATCTCGCTAGTTCCCTGTTAGTTTCTGAGTTATTTTGTCGAGACAGGGACTCTCCCTGAACCCAGAGCTCATGTTTTTTTTTTTTTTTTTGGGCAAGAAAGTGTTCTTTTTTGTTGTTTGTTTTTATTTTTTGTTTTTAAGACAGGGTTTCTCTGTGTAACAGGCCTGGCTGTTCTGGAACTTGCTCTGTAGACCAGACTGGTCTTGAACTCACAGACATCTGCCTATGCTTTCAAGCATTGGAATTAAAGGCATGCACACTGATATTTTTAAGAGAGCTTGATAAGGTTGGGTTTGAGTCTGCTGAAAGAACCTGAAACAGGTTGTTACTGATAGGAAAGCGCTGATAAGAGAAATTGAAAAATGTTTTTCCCTGTTATGTGCCCCATCTATACTGTCTAAAAAGGAAGCTGGCTTAGAAATATATTAGTAATTAGCCCTACAGATTATAGGAATTGAGATAGAGTGTATATATAACTAGAATATTTTCATTGTTAAGTCCCTTCCTATCTTTACCCTTCATATTCTCCTTCATTTTATATTCTTATTTTGGTCAATTCCTGTCTTCTCTCATAGAATATGGGCTGTAGGGATGTTCTCCAGTCCAGATTCCTGATCCATAGATTCTGGGGACCTAATAAGATTACTTACACAGGAGTAATTAGAAAACTGGGTTGGGATGTAGCTTAATGGTAAAGTGTTTGCCTAGCATGCACAGAGCACAGTGCCTGGAGTTTGACATTCAGCACTCCAAAACAACAGCAACATCAAAAACTAACCAACCAGCCAACCAGACAAACAAAAGCCAAAAATGTAACAAAAACCAAAACTCTGGGGATAATATTGACCTTGTATTTTTCATATTCTGATAGGAGGCAGGAATTAAGCAAAATCAGTAAGTACATAAAATGAAGGGGAATAGATAGGTAGAATTTAGATGGGAGAATGCTGGTTATTCATGTTTCTTTTCTCTTTCAGGGTAATTGGCTTTTTGTATATGGTATGATATTGAAAACAGAAAAGTTTATAGAGTAGAAGAATATTTCGCCTATTCTTGTTCCTCAGCCAAGGAAGGAAGTAACAGCTTTGTAACCGGTTTCTTCTTTTTGGCTCTCCTGAGAGTTAGTGCAGATACAGCTTCCTACAGGAGTAGAAGTGTATACTGCTTTCTGACCCAGAGGTTTTCATTCAAGTGACACATCCTTCTAACTGTCTCCTCACTACTGATTAAATTCTACCTTCTTTTTTACTCATTATTCTGAATTTGTTGGGTTTGTGTGTAAAGTGTTTTCTCCATGTCTTTCAGTTAAAGATATTAAGGCAGAACCCCAGCCTCTTTCTCCAGCTTCCTCAAGTTGTTCAGTATCATCTCCTCGGTCCGTAGACTCTTGTTCTTCAACTCAGCACGTTCCTGTAAGTGGCTAGTCTTTTGTAATGAATTGGGTTATAATGCTATCTGGAAAATGTGTGTTCAGGAGGCATTTGACATTCATGAATTATTTTGAGGAACCTTATTCTTCTGAGGAAAATGGGACTTGTGGGAGTGAGAAGGCTGTTAGCTTCAGAGGTTTGGCTCACCTCCCCCCCCCCCCGTTCTTGCTTCCTTAATGTCTAATAATCTTTGCTTACTGGTTTTTTTTTTCTTTTCTTCCTGCACTTTACTTTCCTCTCTATTAGAGAATACATTCTTCAAGGGTGTGGAAGAATGTAAGATCTATAATTCATGGCTCAGAGAATCTGGGATATGATCTGTTTAGTTTAGGAACTCCTATCATTGTCTTTCAAATGAGTTAAGATTTTTACAAAAGTCTGGTAGCTCCTTTGAGTGTGTCTGTCTCAGCTTTGAGGTCAAGAAAATGAAGTACCTGATTAAATAATGGGGAAGGTAAAACACAAGGCCAAAAGCCAAAAGTTAGTATTTCATATGTTTTATCTGTTTTAAATTGAGGCATCTTCATTCTGTCAGGTTCTATATTTAGCCAACTACTAAATCTTGGCAACTCTGTTCAGTGTACGTAGGTAGACGACAACCTTCAGGAACTGGTTCTTTCCTTCTCCCATGTTGGGGATCAGACTGAATATTTTGGGCCTGCATGGCAAACATTTTTACCTGCTGAATCATCTCTCTCCTGCCCTCTTTTGACTTAATATTTTTAAGATTAGTATTTTTTTTTAACCTTTTCTAGGCCATCGTCATCTGACCTTAGGATGAAAACCACTAGGATTTTAACTGGCAGTCTGCCTACCAACTCTCCAAACCTTTCCCAGTAAAATCATCTTCAAAGATGAATCTTTTAAAATTACAAAATTGACTATGTTTTCTTCCTTTAGAACTTTTTAATAACTTCCAGAATATGTAAAGTATGAAATTCAAATTCTCTGTGTGCTGAGTCCTGCCCATGTTTTACCTTTCTAGCTGTTTCAATCTTGCTTTGTATTGTACCTCTCATCTTCATACTCCACTTAGCTTGAACACAGTGAGTTTTTCAGAGAACTGCACTCAGTACATGCAGCCCTGTGCTAGGCACTTTGCAATACTGGTCTGTGTATACTCATTCTGTACCAGGCTGGCCTGGAACTCACATATCTACCTGCCTTTGCCTCCCTACTGGTATTAAAGATGTGTGCCACCACCTCCTGGCTGTTTTCATTCTTTTTCTCTTGCTTACATTGTCTTTTCATTTGGAGTAACCTTAAAATTGAAAGTATAGTGTCTGAGCCATTTGAGAGGCAGTTGCCCTCTGGTGGACTGAACTCCAAATACTATAATGTCTACCTCCTATGAACAAGAATATTTTTTATTTAACAGTGCAGCCATCAAAAGAAGGAACTAAACATTGATACATACTAATAATTTCATATGTAGCCCCCTTTTAGCTTGTGTCAGATGCCCCAGTACTTTCCTTTATATCAGCAAAAGCATCTACTTACAGTGTATGTGGTTGTCTTAATATTTCACTTTTCTTTATTCAGGAACAGTTCTTTCTTTTTGACCTTTGTGCTTTAATGGCCCGTCACTCGGATTGCCAGATATTCCCTTAGGATTGGATTCAGATCTTGTCTATGGCAGGGATGTCACAGAAGTGATTCTGTGTCTGCCTTTTGTTTGCTTTTGTTTTGTCTTTTGATATAGGATCTTACCTAGTTCAAGCTGGCTTTAAAGTTGCTATGTAATAGAAGATGACCTTCCACTCCTGATTCCAAGAACTGAGGTTATAGGGACAAGCCACCCTCAGTCTACCTTCTCTTTTATTTTTGATGATAAAACTTCAGTTTGGTTATACCATTTCAGCTGGTTCTGTTATTGGTGATGTTTACCTCAGTCAGCTGACAGCACCTGCTAGACTCACATCTATGAAGTTAGCCTTTTTCCCTTTACTAGTTGCAAGTATTTTATGAAAAAGGTGTTTTATAAACACAAAAAAGTACTGTTCTTAAAAAATGAACATCATTTACATTTTCATTTGTGTGTGTGTGTGTGTGTGTGTGTGTGTGTGATGTATATATCCATGGATGAGTCACTGGAAATGTGTGGAAGTCAGACTCTGCCATGTGGGTTCTGGGAATTGAACTCAGTGCCCTTACTTTATATTACTCATTTGTCTGTTAATATTAGTGTGGACTCTTCCTATTGTTCCTGTTGCTCCTGTAGAATTTTCTATTTCCACTGGGCTCAGACTTTCTGTGTCAAGACTCTCTCTTGTGCCATTGCCTCACCCTTGCCCTAACCCTTGTGAATGTTTCCCTACCCTTCTGGTACTCTGACAAGTCCCCCAAGTATGGATGGTGGTCTTGCAGCCCCATCTAGTGGCAAGTGGTTACATTATTCAGGAAGGAATATTTTCTTTATGTTAATACAAATTTATCATAAGGTTTTATTTTTAATATATAGATCTCAGATTAATTTGAAATTGCCTTAGTATGTGCTGTAAGATACAGTCTCAATTTTATGTTTCTCCAAATTATTGTCAAAAGGCTTAATTTAGTATCATGTATTAAAAGTTTGTTTTCCCCTTACTGATTTAAGTTACAGGCATACTTTTAAAATTTATATAAGTGGTATTATATTAGATTTCCTATTTAAATATTTATTATTGTTGGTTTATATTTTTGAGACAGAGTCTTGCTTTGCAGTTCAGGCTAGCCTTGAGCTCAACGTTCCTCCACTTTAGCCATTTGAGCGGTGAGGTTATAAGGGTATACCACAATTCTAGCTTCCATTTATTTTTAAAGGTTAATTCATAAATCTGTTGCATCTAACTGCACATTTTGATAAATATTTACTGTATTTTGCCCACATCGTGAAGAATATTGTAGAAATAATCTCTTGTGGATTCTTTGGGAGGTATGTCCAAGAGTAGAAAAAGTAGGTGCTTGGCAACAGACTCGCAATTTGACATGTTTTTTCAGCTCTTCTGGAGTTTCTCTAGGTACTCTGCAGGTTCACCTAATGTGTTTGGGGGCCTTAGAGCTTTTCTGCTAATGATTGACATTATCTGGTTTTCTGGCTTTTGCCAGATGGCAGATCTTTTTGTTAGTGTTTAATTTTCATTTCTTTGATTACTAGTTGCTTTCAAATGGTCTCTACATTTTAATTATGTAGTTTTGATCTTCTATAAATGGTTTATTCTTGTCTTTTGATAGTTTTTCTATGGATTTGCTGTCATTTTTGTGTTATTTTCAAGAATCAGATACATGGTTAAGATATTAAATGCTCTGTTCTGTGGTTCCTGCATGTGTGTTAGTGTATAAGGAGGCTGGTTCCTCAGGAATACCTCACCTATGTGAGACAGCCACAGTCATCTTAGGACCTAACTGATCAAGCTGCTGGCTAGAGAGCCCCAGGGATTCTCCTGTCTGCACCTTCCTAGCACTAGGATTAGAGGTGTGAGAGGGCAAGCACTTTAGTGAGCCATCTCCCCAGCTCTGAGGTTTCAAACTCCTGCTGAGTTTGGGCATTGCTGATCTCATTTCTTATTAACTACCTACTTTGTAGCCTTTATTAAGTAGAAATTATTAATTTTCAATTCCCCCCTCCCCCCATTTCCTTCTTGGTTTAATTTTTAAGTTTTTTTAAAAAAGATTTTGTTTTAGATATTTTATTTTATATGTGTATAAAGTATTTTGCCTACACACACACACACACACACACACACACACACACACACACATATGTGTGTGTGTTTGTGTGTATGCCATGTATATGCCTAGTATAACACGAATTCTAATTGGTATTAATAATAAAATCCCAGAGACAGATATTGGGGTTAAAGCTGAAGGTCAGAGAAGCAAAGCGGCCAGCGACTAGAGAGTTCTTACCCCTTACCAGTGCTTAGACTGAAGGGGTGATAGTGTCTTCAGACTGTATCTGTCTCCACCAAACCTCAGACTGCAATGCTCCTGTCTCCTCCCCCTTGTATTCCTCTCCAGTGCTGGAATTAAAGGGGTGGGATTCCAAGTGCTGAGATCACCTTTGTGTGAGCTCTGTTTCTCTTTTAGACTGGATCAATTTCATATAGCTCAGGGTGGCCTTGAATTAACAGAGATCTGTCTGCCATGTCTTCCCAGCGCTGGGATTAAAGATGTGTGCCTGGCCTCAGTGGCTAACTAGTGTGGCTAGCTTTGCACACTTATTCTTAGGCAAGCTTTATTTGTTAAATCATAAAATGCAGCACTCCTCGTGTCTGCAGAGATCAGAAGAGGGTGTCAGATACCCTAGAACTGGAGTTTCAGGTGGTTGTGAGTCACTCTGTGGATGCTGGGAACTGAACGTGGCTTCTCTGTAAGAATAACACATGAATAAAAGAAATGGGAAGGTATATTAATCATAGCTCTAGTCTTATGATGGTAAGTAAATGTTGGTATGATCCAAAGTCTGTGGGAAGAAGTGAAGAAACAGACAAATGATTTCTGTTTACTGCATGAGTGCAGCATTCAGATGCTGCATTTTGAGTTACACCCTTGAGGTTGATGAGTGTCGATTTATCAGTAGTCACTAGACTTTATCTTTGCAGCACTTTTCTGTTTACATATAATCTTGTTCTCTTTCTAAGACTTTGTTGCTCAAAGATTGTACTCTTGGACATTAATTTGTTTGTGTTTTGCTGCAGGAGGAGTTGGATTTGTCTTCCAGCTCCCAATCTCCCCTTTCCTTATATGGTGAAAGCTGTAGTAGCCCCTCCTCAGTAGAGCCACTGAAGGAAGACAAGCCTGTCATTGGTCCTGGAAACAAAACTGGTATCTGTCTCCCTATTTCTATTATTTCTATTTTAGATAACTTAGGTTCGATTTTTTAAAGACAAATATTGGATTATGAATATATTTTTAAATTAATGTATCATTTTATTTTATGTGATATGGGTGTTTTATCTGCATTTATGTCTGTGAACCAACCGTGTGCCTCCTGACTTCAGAGGCAAAAAGAGGGCTTCAAATACCCTGGGACTGGAATTTATAGTTAGTTGTAAGCTGTTCCAGAATTCAGGTCTTCTTGAAGAGCAACCAGTACTTTTAAGTGCTGAGCCATCTCTCTAGCCCCTAAATTAGTATATGTTATTTTGTATTTTGTTGTTGTGGTGAATGATTACTGTGAAGAGGACAAGGGGGGGGGGAGTCTTTTTGTGATGGTTCTTGTCTTCATAGGTGAAAAATACTAAAAATTGACATTGATTCTGTCTTCTTCAGGAAAGGTTGTAAAGGTCCAGGTAAAGACATCAAATGTGCAAAGTGATGACCCTTACCTCTAGACTTTATTCAGTAATTTTAGCATGATCCTGACCAAGAATTGGTCCCTCTTCCCAAAACTGCAGAGAGGACAATCCCAGACTGAATGGACTTTACATCAGTCCATTCATTTAAAGAGTAGCTGGGTTTACACTCACTGATGGCTGTTACTAGAAGTCAAGATAATACATAGAGGAAAGTATGTAATATTATATGTTTTCTTAATTTTCTTCAGATTGATTTAAAGTTTTTTTTTCCCCCTCCAGAACATGTGCTGACTCCAAAGAAAAAAAATCAGATGAGTTCAAAACCTTCAGTTCAGCCCAAGCCTTTATTACTTCCAGCAGCTCCCAAGACTCAAACAAATGCCGGTGTTCCAGCAAAAACAATCATTATTCAGGCACTACCAGCCCTTATGCCACTAGCGAAGCAGCAATCGATTATCAGTATACAGCCTGCACCCACTAAAGGTACCTGTGTAGAATATGATGGACAGCAATAGAAGGCTCATATCACATGATTTATTTTAATTTGGGTTATAGTTTTTGGACTTGCACCATTATGTTAGGAAATTTCTTTGTTCTGAGGATTTTGCAGAGATGACTAATGAAGTTCCTGTCCTTGTAGAGACAGAGTTCTACAGATTGATGATATCCATTGCCTGTTGTTTTCTTACAGCTTTTATTGTGATAATACCTGTCTTTAAGGCACCATTTTTTTTTTTTTTTTTTTTTTTTGTAGATTTCTTTTTTTCCTCTCATTTTTTTGAGACAGAGTTATACTTAACTGGCCTGGAACTCTATAAGTAGACCAGGCTGCCCTCAAATCAACAAAGCCCTACCTGCTTCAGCCTCCTGAGTACTGGAACCAAAAGTGTGCGCCACACTTGACTGAGGCTTTTGATATTATGAAACCACTTATAATGAAGAAGAAAACTGGGGAGACTTTTTGTGTTGCTATTTTGTTCTGAGATTACTGTGGCTATGGATCTTTTTGTATTGTTTTGTTTTTAAGGTGTGGTTAGGATTTAATAAGAACAATTTCAAGTCAAGTATGTGTTGAGCAATAAATCTGACTCTTAATTTCTGAGGAGACTGGTTTGGTCTGCAAGGCATTGAAGTAGGTTTTAGAAGGCCTGACTACTGCCAACTATCTCAGAACTGGTGTTTTTCTGCATCTTCCCCACCAGATGGCCTCATGTGCTATGAGTCTACAAGAGAGTTCACTATTGAAAGAAGTGCAGGTTTGAGGGTTTGGTAATATTCAAGTATGGGACATCTCTTAGGAAGCTTAGCTGTCACTGTTCTGACATTGATCTCTGTACACATGGCTGTGAGAAAATTTATGAAGTATTTACTTCCAAGGATTGAATTTATTGGCACCAGTTAGCACTATGAGTTAATAGGGCATGTATAAGTAAACATCACTGTTGCATTTATTTTTCTGGCTGTATTTGGAGCATGATTTCAATGGGGGAGGCTTCATAAATTTGCTCTTATATATATTAACCTTGTCTATGAAATGACCATGGGCAATAGGACATTAATAAAAAGAACTAAACAATAAGAATCCCCAATAAAAGAACACAACTAATAGACAAAATAGTTTGAAATGCCTTCCTCCATTTAGGATCAACACTCCTCTTTCTTTTTTCTTTTTAATAGGAAAAATAGCAAAATTGGGATAAGTGTTCTTGTAATTTATAAGTGGATGTTAAGGGTTCATAAACTCTTTGAAATAAGGCACAAGATTTAGTGTATATTCATACATGGGGTTTTGGAATAGTACTTAAAACTTTTACCAGGATCTCAAAATGATTTGTGTCTTTCCAAAGGCTAAGAATTTAAGATCATGAAGAATCTCATTATAGTGCCCACAGCTATTAAAACACATGACATTAACATGGCAGTGTGTGAAGGAGGGAATATCCTCAAGAGTTTTCTTTAAACTGTTGGCTGTGTTTAAGTGGTAGGAGAGCTCTTTTTGTTTGTTTGTTTCTTAAGACAGGGTTTCTCTGTGTAGCCCTGGCTGTCCTGGAACTCCCAATGTAGACCAGGCTGGCCTTAAACCCAGAGATCCCGCTGCCTCTGCTTCCCACGAGCGAGGATTAAAGGCAGGTACCTCCACCACTGGCTGAGATCTTTACTCATAGCAAAAGATAGATTATTCTTTCCCAAGCATTTTATTAGTTTCAGAGATTAAAATCAAACATTCTGAACATCAATGATTTCACCTGATATGAAGCCTATATTTTGATGAGCATGTACCAATAAATTGTTTTTATAATATAATCTGTGGATATTAGTATTAATATTATAACTGCAGATTAAATGTGTCTTTCATACATTATTATTATTATTATTATTATTATTATTTTAATTTGAGAGTGGAATGAGAGGAAGAAAGGGCTGAGGTGATTGCTTAGATAGTAAAATGCTTTCCACATAAACACCAGGACCTGAGTTCAGATGTCTAGCATCCACATAAAAAGCCAGGTACTCTTACAGCTTATATGGGGATAGGCACGTCCCTTAGAGGTCACTGAACAGCCTGTCTATATATTGGATAAGCTCCAGCTTCAGGGAGAGAACTGTCTCTGAAAGTAAGGCGGAGAGATACTGAAGAAGACATTTAGCATCAGCCTCTGGCCTCAACACATGTGCACACATGCAAACATACATGTATACACCACAAAGGCAAAAAAGAAAAATGACGAAGATGGTAATACTTACCGGTGTAAGTTCAAATTCCCTAATGTACCCCACATTTAGTTCCGATTTAGTTTTCTAACTTTGCAATATAACTGTATTATTTTCTACAGAACTCTGAGCTAGTCTAACTAACCTGGCATTGTCTATTGCATTCTGCCACCTGAATTATTTTCTACATATTTTTGCTTCTAAGTCTTCAGTGCCCTGTAACAATGTTATACGTAGTGCAATTGAAAGATGATTAAAGTTTAGAATATCTGAAAATGGAGAACCAGGATGGGAAGTAGAATCGTTACAAAGCCTAGCATTGTAAGGGTTAGTGATTGATGGTGGGGGTGTATGTGGGAGGAAGGTCAGGAAGGATAGAGAGGAAACTCTCTTGGGTAACTTCTATGTTCTGTCTTAGACTTTTTTGATGATACCAGTCACTGAAATTAGGGAATACAAAGAGAGTAACATCTAATAAGAGGGAATGCCAGAGTTAAGCCAAGTTGTCTGGCTGGCCAAGTCTTAGTAATTAGTTATAATATTCCTTCTAAAAAATGATGAAATGTAGTCAGTTTTTTTTTCTCAGAATTCTACCTTTAATTTGAGATTTAAATTTGTATAGTTATATAACAAATATCAAAATTAATGAGTTGATAATACATAGCAGGTACTATTAAACAGAAAATTTGTCAATAATGAATGTATGCTAAGCTGTTCTTATATGCCAGACATTCTTCTACGTGTTTAAATATATTATCTTATTTAATAGTTACATGTCTCTCAGGATAAGTATCAATATTTTCATTTTATAGTTGAGAAAACTTGGTGCAAAGAAATACTTGACCAAGTTGACATAGTATGTTGTTTAAAACAAAGTAGGTATTCCATAAATGTTTGATACATAGTTTGAAATCTTTGAAGAAAGTTAAAAAGAAAGAACTATTAGAATTGAATCCAGCTGTCTCCCACTAAGGGGATTTGAAAATAATGCTAAAGAGGATTTTGAGCATTGCAAAATGGATAAACAACCCTTTTTTTTTTTTTTTTTTTTTTTGGTTTTGTTTTGTGTGTATCCACACATGGAACCTTAGTCACTATGTACTCTGCTAACTACTGAAGGCCCCAAACAGTTATTTGCATTGTCCTCAGTGACCTGGTCAGCACTTAGCAAGTAACTATGAGAGTCTTTTGTTTTTGAACATACTGTAATAGAAATTTAGTATTTCTACAATTTTGAACATGCCTAAAATATTTAGAGGATCCTTGATTTAGATATGGTGAAGATAGTTGGGAACTTTAGGGTATAAGAGCTTAAAATACATCATGGAATAAGGGAGGCATTAGTGGCCTGGTAGGATGTAAACCATATTTGGTGTACAGACTGCCTTGGTAATTCTCCATCTCCCCAAGATGTAATTCTCTTGGTTGGGAAATAGGAACAGGACCATGAGATTGGATTGTCCTCCCTCTCTCCCTCCCTCCATCCTTCCCTCCCTCCTTCCCTCCCTTCCTCCCTCCCTCCTTCCCTCCCTCCTATATTTCTCTCCCTCCCTCCCTCCTTCCTTCCCTCCTATATTTCTCTCCCTCCCTCCCTCCTTCCTTTCCTCCCTCCCTCCTTCCCTCCCTCTTGTACTTCCCTCCCTCCCTCCTGTACTTCCCTCCCTCCCTCCTTCCTTCATTTTCCAATTATGAGAACTGAACCTAGGGCTCTATTCATACTTGGCAAGTGCTCTACCACTGAATTTCATACATTCCCAGCCTTCTTTTAACTGTTTTGAGATAGAGTCACATTAAGTTGCTTAGGCTAGCCTTGAATTTCTTCTGTAGCCCTAGCTGGCCTTGAATTTGTGATCCCTCACCCCCCCTCCCGGCTTTTTTAGTAATTGGGATTATAGGCCTCTATCATCAGGCAGTTTGGGATTATTTTTTAAAATTAGTTTTGAGGAGTATTACAGACATCCACAAGTGTTATTTACCAATGCTTTAAATCTGCCTTAGTTCTACAGGTCTGATCTTTTCTTTGAAGTAATTCTATGTGTTTATTATCTCCCCTATTCTTTGGAATAGACTCCAAGTTTTACACAATGCTTAGTTGGAGGTTTATTTTTTTTATAATCATAATTTTAAGCTTAGAAGGTATGGAACATTGTTTCTGAGACTATTGCTCTCTTCTCTAATTATTGGCTTATGTCAGTGGTTCTGTAGACCATGGACCCTGGAGTCTGTGTGGTAGGGTGATGGGATTTGATAGGAGAACAGTGGCCTTATGGTAATTGCAAGGTATCCTCAAATCTCTAATTGTTGCAGACTGTCACTGTAGATCAAATAATTTGTTTCACTTATTTTTGTACAATTATTTAAAAAAATTATGGCTGTATTTTTTGTTAATAAACTACAAATTCATTATATTTGTTTATTATTATTATTATTATTATTATTATTATTATTATTATTTTGTTTTTGAGATGGTGCCTTAATACATAGTTTAGGTCCAGTCCTTGATGCATGAGCTGGCTTTTTGGAACCTATTCTCCATGTAGGGATGCCTTGCCCAGCCTTGATGCAGGGGTAGGGGCTTGGTCCTGCCTTAATGTGATATGTCATGCTTTGGTGATTCCCATGGGAGGCTTGCCCATTTCTGAATGGAGGAGAAGTGGGTGGGTGGGTGGGGATAGATAGGAGGTGGGGAGAGGGAACAGGAAGAGAGGAGGGAGGGAAAACTGTGTGGTTGGCTTGTAACATAAATGAAAAAATTTAATAAAAAAAAAATAAAAAAGAGAAAAAAATACATAGTTCAAAATTGGCCTTGAACCAAAATCTTCCTATCTCTGTCTTGGGTTTATAGCTATATACTATTATGGCTAATACAAACTCATAGCTAAATTCTTAATAGCCTTTTCTCATTATGTATTTTCACAGTCCATAGGAACTGACAGACACCATGATTATCTTGTATGGCTGAGCTGTCTCTTTGTTGTTAAAGAAGGCATTTTTGGACATGGTGGTGTGGACCTGTAATTCAAACAGAAGCTAGAGGATTGTGAAGTAAGGTTAGCCTGGGCTACATTGCAGGCTGGCTTTGAGCTACATAGTGAGATCCTGTCTCAAAAACTACAAGGCTTAGTGGTAGAAGGCCTACCTTTGTTTGTGCAAGACCCTGGGTTCAAACTCTAGTGCCCCAAGAAGTAAGAATATTCCAGTTAGAAATCCTTGGCTTCCATTTTACATTACAGTAAGTATATCTTTTTAATGCCAAGTTGACTTACTGTCTTATTCAGTGTTGTTAAGAACACAATCTTTGTTCTTTTATTATTTATATATTACTTTTATTTGTATTTCTGGCCTAAGCATATACTTATATAACTGCCTTTAACCTATTCCTCCAGTTATGTGAATTTATTTTGTAACAGAAGTCAGTTTAGGAGAGAATGAGAAGATAAATATATTTGACAATGTTATTCCCCAGTAAATTGTATGTATTTCAAATTTATGAGTTTAATTTTAATTTTTCTTATAAACTTACCACTTATAAATTCTAATAACTGAATTGGGAAAAAATGGTAACATTTGAATTCTACTTCTGGTCTGCTTTTTGAGGTTCCTGAAACAAAGAATTTTATTTTATAAATGAGATCTTTTTTTAGCCACGACAGATGTTCTCAACAAACAGGTGTTCTGAAAGTATTTTGATTTTCAGTTTTTCCCAACCCTTTGAAATATGAAGCTGAGTTTTATAAGTCATCTCTAATTGCCTGAACATAAAATGTCTTGTTTTGCCCTGAAGAAAAATTATAAATTTATATTGAATTACAGTTTCTGGTTATAGTAGTACCTTTACTTAGCTAGATAAAGCCAAACTACAGGGATATTGGACAAGGCTTTCAAAACTTTATAAAATTGTAAAGGGAAGGAAGCAGTTTTCATAGATCAGTTTTATGAGTTGCACGTGTTTTCCTGAGGATAGTGGGATGAGTTCTCCTCAACGGGTGCAGGTTTAAGAGGATGGCAACAACAAAGACTAGGAAAAGATTTGGCAGGGATCAGAAAGGTTGGTATTATTTATAGACAGTCATTGTGCTGTTAACTAAAATTTCATCTCATGTTGTTTTCTATTTTCTCAGCATTTGTAGTCATTTGACTCTTACATATTTGTATGTGTCTATGTTTGTAAATTTTAAAGGATTTATTTTTTTAAATAAGAAAAATTCATATAGAACTAATACACTTCAGAGGCTAATAGTTGGAAAATGTAGATAAAACAGTGAATTTGTTATTATATTGAAAAAGATAAAAATGAACTACTGCCTGGTTGGTTCATGTCTCTAGTGAGTACTTTTTGCCTCCTCCCCCAGTACTGGGAATTGGCATGCCCTCTGCCATTGAGCTACATTCCTAGTGCTCTTTGTTTGCTTGAATGAATCTCTGATTCTCCTGCTTTAGTCTGCACAGTGGCTGTAATTACAGATCTGCATCATCAGGCCTGGATTTAAAAAGTTTCTTTGTAGCTTTGAGCCTGTCCTGGAACTCACTCTGTGGACCAGGCTGGCCTCTAACTCATATCTGCCTGCTTCTGCCTCCCAAGTGCTGGGATTAAAGGTGTGTGCCACCACTGTCCAGCTAAAAAATTTTTAAATTTAAGTGCGTGTGTGTGTGTGTGTGTGTGTGTGTGTGTGTGTGTGTGTGTGTGTGTGTGTACTTGAAGAGGTCAGAAGATGGTGTCAAAACTCTTGGCGTTGGAGTTGTGAGTTGAATTTGTAAGCTACTCAACATGGATACTGGGAATCAAATCTCTTGAAGAACAGTGAGAACTCTTAACCACTCAGCCATCTCTCCTGGACTTTTTACTTTTATCAATTGAGTCTTGCTGTGCTGCCCAAAGTATCCACAGATTTCTGGGCTGAGTGCTTCCTCTGCCTCAACCTTTCAGCTACTTGTACTATAGGTATGTACCACCATATCTGACTTGAAAATAGATTATTCATGATAACTCAAAGAGGATGAACTTAATTGGCCCCATTAAAAAAGGCAGCATCAGAGTCCCCCTTAGTGTGTGTTGCTATTGGTAACATCTTATTTAATAGTGTGAAGTTCTTCAGGATTAATCTGTCTGTTTGTATAAGAGACCTGAATGTTAGACTGCTCCCTGATGCAATACTATGCCCAACTTGATTCCCTTTCTTTTCCTTAACCCAGGTCAGACTGTTCTGTTCTCTCAGCCTACTGTGGTTCAGCTTCAGGCCCCTGGAGTGCTGCCTTCTGCTCAGCCAGTTCTTGCTGTCGCTGGAGGGGCCACACAGCTACCTAATCATGTGGTAAATGTGGTGCCAGCCCCTGTGGTGAATAGTCCAGTGAATGGCAAACTTTCCATGACTAAACCAGCCCTACAAAGTACCACAAGAAGTGTGGGTTCAGATGTAAGTACTTTCTAAATGCCTGATTTTAAAGACAAACAGACAGTACCCTTTGCTTTTGATGTTTTGAAGTTTGTTTTATTGAATGAAAGAAAACAGAGTGCCAAAATTGCACTTTTGGTATTTGGTGGGAAAGATTTTGATGAAGAGTGAAGTATGCATACCTCTGTATTCTTTGTCTTTAGGACCTTTTCATCCTGCTCCTCAAGTCCCAACCGAATCACCCAGTAATATTTTTCGGGTTCTTTCATAATTGCTACTTGAAATTATGTTTAGCAATTCCTGTGATGAGAGTCTATAGACTTCTTTTTAGGCAGGTTTTATATTTAGCTCTTTCTTGACTTGTTTTTTACATTTATTTTTATTTTGTTTGTATGTGTGTGATGGCATGTATGTGAAAGTCAGAGGCCAGCTTGGCTGGAGTAAGTTCCCCCTTCTACTATAAGATTCCCAGGAATTGAACCCATGTTTCTATGCTTGGTGGGAAGAACCTTAACCAAGGGAAGGTGCCATCTTGTCCATCCTTCTCTAGATTTTCTGAAGCGTTTTTAGCATTTCATGACTCTTAAGAATTCTGTCTCTTTGTGGTTATTTGAAACTTTACCATCTTTGTAAACCTTAAAAAGTTTCTGATATTGTAGGAACTTATTCTAAGTGACACTTTCCTATGATGTCACTTCCTAAAGCTAGTTATAGCACCTGCCAGCTAACTATTGCTCTCTTTCAGTGTCACAAAAAATATCTCTTGCTGTGTATTCAAAGGAATTGATTATCAAAGGTTTTTTTGTTTGTTTGTTTTTTGTTTTTTTATTTTGGGTCTGTCTTTATAACTCTGGTTGTCCTGTAACTCAGTATGTAGACTAGGTTGGCCTTTAACCCACAGAGAGCCATGTGCCTCTGCCTCCTTCCTGAGTGCTGAGATTAAAGGCACATGCTACCATGTGTAAGAATAGGTATAATCTCAGCTGACAATACTGTGAATATTTGTAGCAAAATATAGCTAGTTTAGAATAAGAGTCCCTTGGTTCATACTGTTATGAAGAAAAGTGCATATCAAGATATGGAACAGGAAAATTAGTTTTATATGGAGAGAGAAGGGGAGAGAGAGAGAAAGAGATAGATAAAGAAAGAGATAGATAAATAGAGAGAGAGAGAGAGAGAGAGAGAGAGAGAGAGAGAGAGAGAGAGAGAGAGAGCAGTTCTTTTTCAGGTATCTGCTTGGTGGTTGACTGTGTCACGGTAAAGCTGACTATGTCCTTCCCAGCTACCAGCTGTTAGAAACTCATTGAAGTAGATGGTAACACAAACTTGTCACTTTCCTTGAGAAATGAATGGCCACAGAAGTAGCTGCTGATGTTCATGGTAAAGTATGGAAGGGTTATGTGGATGTTTTGACACAGCAGAGTGCATTGCTGTTGAGTAAGGGGCATCTTATCAAAGACCAAGAAGAAATGGAGAGAGGAAGTGCAAGTCTGTTCACAGATGCACGGTGGATGCCAATCTGAGTGTTCTCAACTTGGTTATTGTAAAAAAGGAGAGAAGGATATTCTTGGACTGACATACAAAACTGTGCTTTGGTGGTTGGGGCCCAAGAGAGTTAGCAGGATCTGTAAACATTTTCATCTCTCTAAGGAAGAGATGATGTTTGCCAATATGTTGTCAGAAAGCCCCTGAACAAGGAAGATAAGAATGACAGGACCAGAGCACCAACACAAACACTGATGTGTTGCTCTAAAGAAACAATTCAGTAAGAAAAACAAGGAGGAGGCCACAGACAATGTGAAACTTTTGCCCCCCCCCAAAAAAAAAATGCAGGAAGCCGAAGGAAAGCTCCAGGAACAGATTGCTAAGAGACATAGGCACTTCTCACTGACAAAGTTTACTTCTAAGTCTGAGTCCAGTCAAAAATTAATCTTTAAGAATAACAAATAAGTGACCAGACCTTGAGTAAAGTAAAAAGGCACCTGGTGACTACAGAATATAGGAAACAATATTGGAAAGATAACTATGGAAGCTGATTTTTTTCCTTTTAGTATATGGGAAACTTTCTACAATAAGAAAAAGAATGACAATGGCAAAAGTTTAAAAAGTTCTGTGATTCTTTTTTCTTTTTCATGTTCAAACTCCTTTAATTACCATAGTATAAAAACAGAAGAAGATACAGCAACAAAAAACTACAGGCCAATATCATAGTGATTATTTTTTCATTTAAAAAGTTTAACAAGTAAAGAATACACTTTTCAAGAAGACCAAAAGTTTTATTATAGACTTTTTTCTCTTAGACATGGATATATTTTATTATCATTGAGACTAACAAGAAAAAAAAAAAATATATATATATATATATATATACACATATGTATATATATACATATGTATATATATATGATGCGACCCCCCCCCCCAGGACATGTCTGAGTATCCCCTAAATTGCTTAGGGTCTCCAGCCTTGGGAGATGTGGTTAAATTTATACCAGGCCAGTCTTGCCACATGGGACAGGGGAGAACAGCTGTTTTTTACAACAAAACTTTTCAATTCCACCCCTCCTGGGAAGGTTCCTTAGGAGATGTGGAAGAACCATCTTGGCCAGAGCTGAAGGGGTAGGGTGTGTGACTGTGGGGTGAACAGGGACAAGGGCTCTGGGATCTGCTCCCTTGTAAAGTAGAGCTTTAACTCTCTGACTCTTTCTGGAGTCCCAAGGAAGGGGCGTGGGTGGCTGCTGTGTACAGAAGGCCTGGGTTTAGGGCCTAAGAAAGGAAGGGTGGTGAACAGGGAGGGCACACAGGGTTTAAGTTATCCTAGACCTAAAACCTGACTCTGGGAAACGGGGCTTACTCCTGTAACGGGTTCTTTGGCCCAGGCTTCCAGATGTGGGCTTTGCTTCTCCAGAGTCAATGGAGGATGTTTTTCAAAAGTTCAAAGATCCCTTGAAATTTTCTTAGAATGCTTTTGAAATTAGGAGCTTGACATTTCTTGTGTCATATTCCCAAATGAAACTAACACTAGAAAACATTTGACATTACCTTAGAACAATTGATAGTGTGCCATGCTTATTAAAATATTAACAATTTAAATAATTTTTTACAGTTATAAAATCCCAAGTGTTATGAATTCCAGAGGAACAAAAGATGGGAAAGGTGGCTCAAAAGTGAGAGCTGGAGATGTGACTTGTGACATAGTGTTTGCTCTGTTTACAAAGGGCCCTAGATCCAATCCTTAGTACCCACTCTACATGCCCTCCCACTGCCTCTGCCCCACTGCAAGAAACCATGTTCTAGAAGAGTGTTTAAGGCTTGTAGTGATTCAGTACACTAAAAGAGAAGACTGAAAGTAGACATAGGAACCATCTTTTAGGAAAGGTGGGATGTCATGTGGACAACAGAATTATTGAGTTACTCCAGTGGGTTATCTGGAACAGGTATAGAGGTAAGTGATGGAAAGGCCTCTTCTAATCCCAATTTCTGTATACAGCCATTGTGTTTAGAAACTGGAGGCCATTGCTTTCTTTTTAGACTGTGTGTGATTAACAGGCATTTGAATTTTGACAATCATCATGGATTCAATGACCCATTTGTGATGTCCAAATATATTTAGTCAGTTATGTGTTGATCTGTTAGTCAGACATCTTTCATTCATTATTTGATGTGAAAGAACACACATGTTTGGCTTTTGTAGAGAACTCTGGGAAGTTTTGAGTAACTTGCCGACAAAGTCTCAGTTAACACTCAGGAACTGGAGGAAGTTTGAGATGAGAATATATTGTACTGATGAGTGTTATTTTTTTTATTGTTAGCAGTATTTATTGGCTGGTCAGCTTTCAGAATTTAGAACTGATAAGAATTACAAAAGAGATTAATGTAGTCTGTGTGTAATGTAAGAAACCTAAAGACTATTAGAATGATTTTCCAGTCAACCTGCATTCAGGTTTTTTGTGCTATTTTCACCTAGTTAGCATATCAGGATGTCGTAGGCACTGTTCTATTGCTTCAAAAAGACACTAAGGCAGCTCTTATAAGAGAAAGCATTTAATTGGGGGCTTGCTTACAGTTTCAGAGGTTTACTCTATTATCATCATGATGGGGAGCTTGGTAGCATGCAGGTATGATTCTGAAGAAGTAGCTGAGAGCTGTGTCCTGATCCAAAGGGAGAAAGAGGGAGCTGGGTTTAGCAAGGGCTTTTGAAACCTGGAAGCTCACTCCCTGCAATAAGGCCACACCTCCTAATCTTTCTCAAATAGTGACTAAGCATTCAAATATATGGACCTATGAGGGCCGTTCTTACCTAAACTGCTGCACAGGAACTGAGTCAAAACTTTCAGTATGAGTTTTCATGTTTATGTAAAATAGAAAAGCATTAGTATGTCCTATCAACTGCCTAACCCTCCCAAGGAACCCAAAGTAAATCTGTTCTAGAAGGAGCCTTTTTAAAATCTCATTAAATTTTAATTAGTGTAGATACAGCCTTGATTTAAAATGTACCCCCTTCCAGTTTTATATCATGTAATTTTTGTGCTTTTAGACCAAATGGTGAAGAAGTTATAATTCAGAAAAAAAAATGTATAATCTTTTGTGGCTTTGTAATGCTGACATGGCTACTTTCCCCCTACCTGTTTTGAATTCTTTTGTTTGGCAAGCTTCTTTCTCTAGGGGCCTGCTACTGCCATAAGTAGTATTTCTAGCATACCATATTCTGCAGACAGCATTAAGTGCCACATTTTCTGTTATGAAACAGTTTGCCTGGTTCAAATTATAATTTCAGTCTTCCTGCTTTTTGCTGGTAAATCTGTTATGGTTAACTCTTGGAAACTTTGCCACATTTTCAAGAAGTACAATATTTGGTTTTGGCTTTGATCCTGATGGAAAAAAAATAGACATTTCATTTTAGTATAGATATTCTCTATGTAGTTTGTTAATAAATGCAATCATGGAATTATAAAATTGGCTTGATAGAGAGCATGCTTATCTTTCTTTGAAGGGCAGTTGAACATTGCCAGGTGTCAAGT